TTTAGCATTGGTGGCCACAATCTTAACAACATAAGATACGCAGATGACACAGTGCTGATAGCAGACACGGAAAAGAAATTACAAAATCTCCTAAAGAAAATAGGAACTAAGCATAAACTACAAGATGGAGTGTATGATCGTCAGTAAGAGGATGAGGCCGAAATGCAATCTGAAGGTCGGGAACACTAGTATCAAGCAGGCGCGAAAGTTTAAATACCTGGGAAGCGTCTTGACAGAGGACGGTAAACGCGACACTAAGATCCGAAGACGTATTGTGATGACCAAGGACACATTCCAAAAGTTGGGCAGAGTAATGTGAGGCAGGAGGATATCTTTGGTAACAAAGAAAAGAATACTGAGCTGTTACATGACGTCTGTTCTTCCTTACGGCAGCGAATGTTGGGCGATTTCTTCAAAGATGAAGAAGAGACTCGAGGCGACAGAGATGTGATTCTACAAAAGGATGCTAAAGATATCATGGACCGAGCGGGTGAGCAACGATGAGATCTTAGAGAGGTTGCAAACAAGAAGAAGGCTTATACTTAATATCAGGAAGAGGCAGCTGAAGTTTCTGGGACACATAATGAGGAAGGTGGGCCTGGAGAATCTGATACTCACAGGTTGAATAGAGGGAAATGGAAATAAGGGAAAACAACGCATGTCATATCTAGCGGGCTTTAAGAAAGTGGATCACAGAACGTGGGGGAGATAGCAAAAGAAAGGAACTTGTTGAGTGATGCAAAAGATAGAGGAAGGTTGAGAGCCATGATCGCAATCCGTCCTGAAAGGACATGGCAAATAAAAAGAAAGATGGCCGTTCTATGTTTATTTTTGTTCGTTCCTTATAATTACAAAATAAGTGGGTAATTACTATTTACATTGTTCGGACTATCATTCTTATTTTTGTTGCCATATTTATCACAACGTTTCGGCTGTTGTACGCTCCGGCCTTCTTCAGGTGGTTGGAATGTCGAACTGAATACTTTATTTCGCTCGCTGGGGTTGACTGTTCTAGTTCCACGTGCCATGTCTAATGGATGTCAGTTATCTCTTGTTAATTCCCCTCTCCAAGTTCTCCGCCGCCTTAACCAGGTATTGAACTCACACTCTTCAGGTCCTGTAACTGGATCTAAATAACACCTGCATCCACACTGCTATGTGTCCTTGAGGAGCAATCTAAATGGTGTATATAATATCTCATCTTAGAAATATAGACAGATACTGAAGTGGGGTATCATTAATTATTAATTATTATGTATTAATTATTCATGTTATTAATGTAATCATTTATAACAAGCGAGATACAGGATGTCCATAAAGTTTGGGTGCACTTTAAAAAAATTATAACTTTATTTGTACTTGCGATAGAAATAATCTGTCAAAAGTGTAATAAAGTTTAATTTGCCTAGTTTTAAGTATAGCGAAAATAACTAATGTGATTTCAGGCATTACTGTAAATCAGTTGTCCAATGTTTTCCGTGAACTGCAAAATCGTATTACCTTTTGTATTGCTAATGATGGAAACTTAAATAAAATTTCAATAAAACCTTAAAAAAATATAGATTTACTTCTTTCTAATCCTTTTTACTAATTATTTCTATCGCAAATACAAATAAAGTTATATTTTTTAAAGTGCACACGAACTTTATGGACACCTTGTATATTCTGTAATCAACATCTCAAATGCCAAGAAAAATACAAATGAATTCGAGTTTATTTTTCTGTATAATTAAAATTTTCTCTTACAATTTTACATCGGTGTAGAGCAAAGAATAATAATTATATTATTCACTGGTGTTGCTTTTCACACACCGTTTTGCTAAATATATTGTTCGGCTTTCATCTTTGACTGGCCTCTTGAAAATACTGATTATCTCTTTCAACTTTGTTGCTTTTAAGACAATCTCTCGGGCGATAATTTCTTGGCTTTGCATGCGACGATCCGTAGAAAGTTCAGCCGACTTTCTTTTTCTTCCTTTTCTTCCTTTCAATCTCTTTACTTAGTAGATTATTACAACAAAATCCTTGTAACTCCATTCGGTTTTATGCGTCTCAAATCTTAGACCTTCTTCAAGCCATAATACGCCGCGCGTACAGAATGATTTTTTAAACTAAATATGAAAGAAAAAAAAGAACCTCTGGCTACAAAAAGCTGCCATTAAGAAAGCTAATATTTGTGTAGACGTATCCGCCCCTTGAATTTATATGCCTAACCCAAATCATGAACTTCTTCGCTATAGAGGTACAAGGTGATTCTAAAAGAAACATTTGAAAGCACATAGTGTTCATTATATGGAGGTACGTTCATTTTTACTTTCCTTTATTTTAGCGGATCTGAAGTGAAATGAATTCAGTAACGTGACTTTTCTCACATTCAGATTGATATAACGGCGAAAGAAAATAAGAAATCAAGACATACCTATTTTATTGCGTTTTTATGCTTTCGTATTTTTATTGAGCAAAATATTACTTTAACAGATATAAAACAAAATATAAGACTTAAATCTATTTTTTTATTCACTGCTATTATACGAGGGAGCGCTGAAAAATTCGTGTCCTGTCAATTTGCCGTCCAAAATAATTCTTTTCTTGGCTTATTTGTCCAGACTTTAGCAAATGGGTTGGTACTTTTTTGGCAAAACCTCAGAAGAAATTTCTAAGAGAAAGGATTTCAACTGCAAAAAGTTCCTCACTTATGAAATATGGAATAATGTTCTCTCATTTATTCTATGTAGACATTGATTTGGGATTTACTGGAAAAAGAAAATTAGTCTAACGAACATTGATCTAAAGAACATTGGTCCAAAGAAATATATATATATATATATATATATATATATATATATATATATATATATATATATAAATGAGAAAAAGAACAAATGGAGTACAAATACACAGTTCGTAGCATTTACTTTTTTTAAAAGTGCCCAATACAAAGTACAGCAATATATTATTATATTTTTTTGCTATAAGAGATTATAATAAAAACATTTTTAAATCAATACACAAATGATTTTAATGATTCAATAATCGACTGGGGAACTACAAAGTATTGAAACATGAACGTTTTGTGTAGCAACTTAAAAATATTTATCTTATAATCTCTTATAATATATATATATATATATATATATATATATATATATATATATATATTTGTTTGTTTGAATAAAAAACAGTCTGTCTTTTATTCAAAAATATTTGCTCTGGATTTACATTGAGCTCTCCGTATATGATCCTCCTTGGGTCTACCCATAAGGATTACCTAGTTTTGCATAAACTATATATATATATATATATATATATAGGGTGTCCATAAAGTTTGTGTACACTTTAAAAAATGTATAACTTTATTTGTATTTGCGATAGAAATAATTTGTAAAAAGGATTAGAAAGAAGTAAATCTATAATTTTTAGGGTTTTATTGAAATTTTATTTAAATTTCTACATGTCCTCCTTCATTAACAATACAAAGGGTAATACGATTTTGCAGTTTACGGAAAACATTTGACAACTGATTTACAGTAATGCCTGAAATCACATTAGTTATTTTAGCGTTCAAATCTTCTAATGAACTAGGTTTGGTTGCATACACAATTGTTTTCACATGTCCCCATAAAAAAATCTAATGGAGTCAAATCTGGCGAACGCGGAGGCCAATAAAATGATCCACCCCTTCCGATCCATCTTTTAGGTAATTTCGGATTTAGAAACTCTCTAACATGCAGAGCAAAGTGACAAGGAGCTCCATCTTGTTGAAACATTGTATTATAACATTTTTTTACAGATTATTTCTATCGCAAATACAAATAAAGTTAGAAATTTTTTTAAAGTGCACACGATCTTTATGGACACCTTGTTTATATATATATATATATATATATATATATATATATATATATATATATATATATATATAGTATATATATATTAGAAGAGGACTACAATCAAATTATTCGAATATGTATCGAGGCTTTGATTGTAGTTCTTCAGGCGATTACTAAAACATGAAATTTTTGTTTAACAATTTAAAAAACCGGGACATTAGAAGAAAGTGATTTTATATCTAGACTAGCCATGAGTTTCTCAGTCATATTTATTTCCATTAGTTTTTAAACTTGCCTGAATTTTAAAAATGTGATGGACTGATTATTTCGAGGAGAATGTTTCAATTTTTTTGTCATGGCTAGTTTAGGAGGCAGAGCCTATTCCTGAAATGCTGGAATGCATACAGACTTTGTGGGATTTGGGGAAAACCGTGAAGTTTAGGTATTAGGGTGAGAGTATCTATTACCCCATATCACCATTTGTCTTCATTTTTAATCCCTTCCTTCAACGTTTTGTTAAAGTTTTTATATTCCAATAGTTATTTCTTTTTCCTTTATTTTTCATATATAGCAGCATCGTTTAGTAGTAAAGTGATTTCTTTTTTATCGTATGACTTCATATTTATTATGAAAATTCTATCCCACCCTTGTCCAATGGTGAAATGTACATTTCGCTATTTTTGATAGGTTCCATGGTGCGTGTAAGTGCTCACATACACACTCACACCTATATATATATATATATATATATATATATATATATATATATATATATATATATATATATATATATATATATATCAGACAAATGAATGACAAAGTGAAACAATTATTTGTTAGATGCATAGAAGATTTTCGTCGTAGTCAATCATTTGACTAACATGGAAATTTATATATGGAATATATATATATATACATGGAATATATATATATATATATATATATATATATATATATATATATATATATATATATATATATATATATATATAATATGTGTTATGAGATTTACAGACTTTAGATCTGAACGCATCTAATGCTTACTAAAAACTGGAAGGTAGATTGGAACTTGCCAAGTGAGGAAAGTCGTGTTGGAATTGAAAAACACCGAAATTTACCTGGAGTTGCATATCAGTTACAATACTATAAGTAAATATATTAACATTACACCTACCAAATAAATCATTCGATTAATAGGAACAGATAGATAGATAGATAGATAGATAGATAGATAGATAGATAGATAGATAGATATGAGACTACATATATATATAGATAGATATGAGACTACATATATATAGATAGATAGATAGATAGATAGATAGATATATGAGACTACATATATATATATATATATATATATATATATAGATAGATAGATAGATAGATAGATAGATAGATAGATAGATAGATAGATAGATAGATATGAGAATAGATGGACAGATAGATAGATATGAGACTACATATATAGATAGATAGATAGATAGATGTGAGACTACATATATATATAGATAGATAGATATAGATAGATAGATATGAGTATACATAGATAGATAGATAGATAGATAGAGAGAGAGAGAGAGAGAGAGAGACAGAAATGAACACACTAAGAAAAGTTTTATTTCTTTCCGATTAAATTTTTATAAAAATCAATCCTTTAATTAGAATGTTTGCGCATCAAAGACAACCATAAAATAATCAAAATAACATCAAAAATCAATGTTGAGAAAATTTGGTGTCAAAATCTCTGTCCTTAAGAATAATTGGTCGTTCTTTGAAATAAACAATATAAATTTAGCGAATATAAAATTATTTGAAATTTTCATTTCTTTTAAAATCTATCTTATTTTCTGACAGGTTTCAAAGAATAGCCTTTGCTACCAAACTCTTAGCAGTAACCGAAAGAATGATTTTTCTCAGAACTGGCTGTGTAGAGTTTACTTTTTAAAAATATGTTTCTCTGATCAACTTCGAAGTGTCTCAGACATTTCTGTTGGCTTTCTATAAAAATTCTTTGGTGGTAAAAAGTTTTTCTTCACAATTCTTGGCTAAAAAGTTTCCCCTTTTTATGCGTTCGAAATCAAAATGTAAGTTTTTGTTGTTTTTTTTTAATTTTTTATTTTTAAAATAAATAAAAACCAAAAGTCAAAATTCTTACGATATTTTAGATAATTATATTTTTTGTTTTTAATTTTCAAATTTTAATTAATCTCCCAGAAATAATATAAACGAAAACACTATACACAAACAAAATTTCTTGTTTTTCTTTTGAAATTCTTTACACAAAATGAACTCTAAGACTGATCTACTCCGAAAAAACGTTTCCTCGAAAGAAAAATGTGAAAATTCTGTATTCACTTATTCTTCGCTTTCATATATTTTTCCGATTTTCCAAAGAAAAAAACTTAAAACGTACAGAAGCAAAAATATTTACTTCATTCCCTTTCCCACCTCCGTAGCTTCTTTGTGTCTTTTCTATAAATACTTCAATGCTAATTATTGGGTCCTGTCACTGGATCTACCTAACGCCTTTATCCACTGTGCTATGTGTCCAAGGAGTGTGAGTTCAATACCCGGTTAAGGCAGTGGAGAACCTGGAGAGAGCAATTAACAGGCGATAACTGATAACTGACATCCATCAAACATGGCACGTGGAACTAGAACAGTCTACCCCAGTGAGCGAAATAAAGAGTTCAGTTCGACATTCCAACCACCAGAAGAAGGCCGGGGCGTACAACGGCCGAAACGTTGTGATAAATATGGCGACAAAGATGAGGACAATAGTCCGAATAATGTAAATAATGTTTTTCTGTCAGATTAGTAATATTCTAATCAAGGGAAATAACTTTTATGTTTGCAAGAAATTCACATTTTTTTCTTTCCATTATTGAATGTCACGTGACAGAATTACTAACAGCCTGTGATGATGAACACCCCCTCAGAGGAGAGGGTGGAGGGAAGAGGGGGCAGGGGAAACCAAACTGACGGCTGCTTTCTATAATCACCAATGAAGGGGGGGTGCGACTTGAAAGCTAAGGAGACTGTTACGACGAGGGATGCAACCAACATAAAGTATAAAACCGAAATACACGGTTCCTTGTATCAATGTCGTTAATTCACGAAGATGGCGCTTCTTTGCAATGGAATGGTTGCTTGGTGATTGGTTTTCTCGAGCTGAAGCTGATTAAACCGAAGGATGAGATTTGAAAAGCGACTTTTGCGCTTCGTTCAATTTCGATTGACCGGCAAGTAATGAGAGGGAGATGTCAATGAAAAGCTGAAGATCAAATGCAATTTGATTCGGCATCTTTTTCTAGTGACTTACATGCAATAAAGAATTAGATTCTTGATTTCCATGTTGAATTAACTGAAATGGTTTTCATGAGTTTAAAGCATCTTCCTCAAATTCCAAATAACTCTGTCATGTTTGACTTACAAGAAAATGTGCATTCTATAAATAAGTGATGGATGTGTATTCATCTAAAATAAATATATATATTAATTATCTAAGATGATTTAAGTGATGGAGGTGTAATGATCTAATATATATATATATATATATATATATATATATATATATATATATATATATATGTTTGTGTGTGTGTGTAATTATCTAATATGATTAAGTGATGGAGGTGTAATCATCTAAAAAATATATATATGTAATCATTTATATATATATATATATATATATATATATATATATATATATTTATTTAAAATAAAAATATAAATATATAAATAAAATATGAATATATATATAATATATATAATTATAATATATAAAATAATAATGCAACAGAAATTTATAAAAACGGATTTTTTCATTCATAACAGGTTCGGGGTTTTTGTATATTATTTGAGTTGTTCGCGTCGGTGGATTTCTCGCCAATTAAATCATTAACCTTTGTATTTGTTTTTGTATGAATAATTCATGTATTTGTAAATTGACTGCACGTTTATTGAAATTAAAATAACTGATCCAAGTGCAACTTTTGGATAATAAGTGCGACATTACTGTAATTATTGAACAATATAGTTCATGCCACTTTGACAGAAAATTTACCAGTAAAAAAGAATTCGCTTATCACCATATTTGTACAAGAATGCACAATTAGAAAATTTGAAATCAAACTCAGCGTTGCTACTGCACGCTCCAAAAACAATAACTCATTTCTAATAGCATTTTCGGATACAACAATACATATATTTTCGTTGCCCTCTTATTACTGAGAGTAAAAACAAGAACAACATTTATTCCATACCTGAAGATATCTGTAGGAACAGACGAAAGCTTGTAGTAAAATAAGAACTAATGCAACAGAAATTTATAAAAACAAGGATTTTTTCATTCATAACAGGTTCGGGGGTTTTTGAATATTATTTGAATTGTTCGTGACGATGGATTTCTCGCCAATTAAATCATTAACCTTTGTATTTGTTTTTTGTATGAATAATTCATGAATATATATATATATATATATATATATATATATATATATATATATATATATTTGTAAATAATTTTATTCTTTAATATAATCTTTAATATAACCTATTAGTTTTATATTAAATTTTTTTTGTATAATTTTACTTAATTTATAGTATAAATTATCTAAATATGATTTATTCTTAATTTATTTAAATATATCTTATTTTTAAACACAGGCCCACACGGGCCTGTACAGCCATAACAGCCATATAACGAAAGCATGTGAAGACGCTCTTCCCGCGTGTTACCGTGCGGTTTTATTTAACTTCAAGAACGCTTCTCCCCGGTGGTAAGCCTCCACTTCTCTCCTCGCTCCATCCCTCGGTATAAATCGCGTCTCCAGTGTGAGCGATTGTTAGTGATGTCTTCCCACCTCTTGATGTCCACACCCCTCATGTCCGTTTGGCAGACATCCTTGAAACGAAGATGAGGTCGCTCTCGTCCCTTCTTGCCTGTGGCCAGCTCCCCGTACAGAAAGACTTTCGGCATCCTGCAATTAGTAGACCGTTGCTTCCCGTGTTTTGCCGTCGAGGTGAGGCGACGTTCTCTGTAGGGCCCAGAATTGGGTAGGTTTCTATGAGAGAACGGCGATTGCCCAAGAGAAAAGTAGAGATGAATGAGAATATAATAATTATAAAACGTACAACATATTTTTATACTTGCTTCGTTCTGCATATGATGTCACTTATACGAAATACCTATATTTAAACAGGAAATGTAACGTTCCCAAAAATGTCAGGATTTCGTTAAGATCTCTTGTCTAAAATACTCACATTTAATAAAGTACACTAGCAAAAACAGTAGAAAAATATGAGTATATCCACAAATTTGATCAGGGTGTGCAACAACTCATTCGAAAATTGGAAAATTAAAAGTTCTTTAAAGGAATTATACACATGCTCACACACACATACACACACACACACACACACACACACACATATATATACATATGTGTGTATGTGTGTGTGTGTGTGTGTGTGCGTGTGTGAGCATATATATAGGATTAATACAAATATAAAATTTGTCACTTAGCTGAATGATGTTATTTTCAGCATTTCAACTCGAGAGTTCCGTAGACGGAACCTCCAGCAATCCCTCCATCTTGATTCATAGATTCTATACCCATAGGCACTCATTTTTCTAAAACACCAGAGAGTTCTTTCAAAAAAATTTATGAACTGAAGGAGAAAGATTTGATCCAACAGATAATTTGGAAAATTATAGGTTCCGCACGTACTCCTAATAAACTTAGAGATAGGTTCGACTTATATTTAGAAAAAAAGGTTAGAATAATAAAATACAATAATAAAAGCCAACTATTGAATCAAAGGTATGAATTAATTTAAAAAGGTCGACATAAAAACAAATTCAAATTTCCATAATAAAGTGTTAACTTAATTAGCTACCATGTTTCCATAATATCCACTCACCTCTAATTCTTCAAATGTCGACATTAAAACTAATTCTAATTTTCTATATTTTATTCCCCTCTCTATAACTTCTTTACATTATATTAATTATAATCTATAAAACTTTCCCCTACTTTAATATCTCCCCAACTCTCTTTCAATAAATTCCTTACATCCTTTTATCTATATATTTTAAATTTATATTAGACACCTTTGTATTCCTCTTTTAATTTTAAATTAATATTACATTCTTCATATGACCCTAAATTAATATCATAAGGGTTTAATTTTATAAAAATTCTTCCCTTTAAGACAAATAACTTCTACCCTACGCAACCCCTGCCTCGTGGATTTCGTCTGATTGAAACATTAAAAAGGATAAACCCTGTATTAGTTTCTCAACCGGTTGATTTTTTAGCTTCACAGTTAAATACTATTTCCCGTCCCTCCTTCATTATATAGACCCGAATTCAGTCGACACTGGGGGTTGATAACAGACGTCGGCCGAAATAGGCTATTCCCCAAATGAGGTAATTTTTCTATTTTATCGTTTATTAATTATATAGCTCTGTATTAATAAATATATTGGGCTCTATTGTGGATCACTTTGGATTATATACCAACGGATTTGTTACTTGTACTGCATATATATATATATATATATATATATATATATAGAGAGAGAGAGAGAGAGAGAGAGAGAGAGAAGAGAATGAAAAGAGAAAGAGATGGGTATGATAAAATCATACATATACGCATATATACTTGCACGTACATATATATTTCTTTCCCACTTGTTATAAAAAACTGTGCTCATTTTTATATAACACACCTATTAAGTATATATATATATATATATATATATATATATATATATATATATATATATATATATATATATATATATATATCGAATAATATACATAATACCCAACGTCGATAACACAACTCGGAGTTTTATGCAAACAATCAATCTTCCGGTGCAAATTACTCATTGACTGTTAGAGCGTTATAAAATCCGGGTCTTCGTGGTGATGATTTCAAATTGTGTGTAAAGACTTGTTTATTTTATTATTGTTGCCTAAAATATTACAATTAATTATTTATAATTTATAACGTTCAAATTCTTACGTTCGAAAGACGAAGAAAGAAAAAAAGAAAAATTAAAAATGATTTTAAATAAAAAAAATTAGAGATTATATAAACACATTATGTATCAAGTGGGGATAACTCTCTTTTTGTATAAAATACCTTTGTTATAACATATTTAAAGTAATGTCTTATGGAATACACTTAGTACTTTTTCAATATAACAATAGGTTAAGACTATCAAATGCATTTGGAACCTAGCCTTATATTTACAAAGATGAAATTACATTTACACGTTATAAATTAATCGAGTACGATAATATGGGATTATATATGTGTATAGACATATAAAAATGTTATGAATATTAATAGGTGTTACATATATTAATATTTGTAAAATCTATTTTGAAATCTATTTTAATCAAGATCAGTGTGCTTGAGGAGGTGTTTAGTTTTAGGGATACATGCCGCTATCAACTCATCTCTCGTGTACAGCAAGTTTATCTTATTTAAGTGTTAATAAAATAATAAGCTTTTCCAGTAAGCACATGTTACATCTGTCTCCATTTTTATAACATGGTTATAACATGGTTTAGCTTTCGCGATTATCTCTTAGCTAATAGTTGGTTTCTTATTGTCGTTTATTAATCGCAATCTTACTTAGAAAGTGTTATGCAGTTTTTTGTATTTAATATTCTTCGGTGTCATTTTGTGATGGTAAAAGTACGATTTCCAAATGTTCTCGGTGAATTCAAAGTAATATTTAACATCATCGTTTGGATTAATTGTAACTTTTTATATTATACCTTCAGTCATGCACTGGCCATTTAGTGGACAGGTTACGTTTTTAGGAAAATTCTACCCACATTAGCTTGAACGTTACTATTGTAAGGCGGGTTGAACCATATGACGTGACGTTTGAGGTTGTTTTTTCTTATTTTTATCTGTATTTTTTTGTTCTTTTTACATCCGCTAATTTCACTTTATGGTTGCTGCATTCTACCGCTTTGTTATATCTACTTTTTTTATCGTCGAATATTTCTTTATTAATGGAGTTGGTCGATAATCTAAATTGTACTGAGTCGTGTAAATTGTCAAGAATAATTTTAGGGTGAGGTTGGATTACATGTCGACGTACCTGTGGTTATATGAATCCTTAGTGTATGGTTTATACAGGCCTTTAATCTGCTCAAATGTAATGTCTAGGAAACTGATCACTTTAGCTTTGGAGTTGGCTGTAATGTTTAGTTTATGGTCCTTAAATAATTTAATTAGGTCCTTTCTCATCCGGTTCTCTTGTTTTAATCTCAATTTGCGAAGGAGAATTATTCCACCGTCTCTGTATATACCGTTGTTTATATATATATATATATATATATATATATATATATATATATATATATATATATATATATATCAGAGATAAATCTGAGTTTCCATAACAATAGTCTTCCTACAAGTTCGCATACTTTCGAAGAAACATGTGCTTCCATGGATATGCAAAAGTCTGGGATATTTCTCTTAGTTCATAGAATTCAGTCTTGGAATAGTATCGGGTTCTGTGCCTATCTTATTATATTTAATTTTTGGTCAGAAATATGGCAGTAGTTTTTTGTTTTTTTGTTTTTTTTTACTAATAGCGGCCATTAGTAGATCTTCCGTAATAGATGGGTAGAAGTCACAGATATCAAAATGCAAAACTTTCTTTTTCATATTACAGAACCATTCAATAGCTTCGGCTGTATTTCGCCACTAGTTTAGACCAAAAGCCTTTTTTAGAATACTTACACGCTCTTTCCTTAATGGTTTTGTTGATAATAACAATGTTATTTTGGGATGGCTTGAGTGGTCAGTATTGTAGGTTATTTAGGAAAATCACCGTGTGATTTTTATTCGTGACGAATGCCTGATGTTTGTGTAGTTTTGGGATTCTATCGTCTATTTTCAGCTCAGTCGCTATTGCTTTCATATCAAGGCTGATAGATTTTTTTTCCCAGCTATCATCCGTTCTTTCATGGACATCTGTATTGATGGCTTTGTGGTATAATTCTGCGTTGGTGTAATAATGGTTACAAGTCTTATCAGATTTGATAACTCTCTTAAGATTTCTTGATCTGATAATTAATATTCTTTACACACACACATATACATATATATATATATATACTTACGCCCGCTATATATACTTACGTCCCTTTATAAACGACGGTTTCTACCGAAAAGCGAGGGGGGGTCACGGATTCGAATAGACAATATAAAATATTGTTTAAAATAAACGGAGCGTCAACTCAATGATGGGTATCGTGTAAAATAATTTGTAAAGTGATAATATTGGGATGAATGAATGCACTCGGTTTAATTCCCCCGAAACCTCATCTATCTATACGGCCAATAAATACAAACAAGATACATATAAATATTTACATATATATGATTTACATATATGACAGAAAATTTTTTGTTGGTTTTTTATATTCATTGTCAACTTTTCAATTTTTTTTATTCCACTTCTTTTTTTAAATTTCATATTCTTCTTATTATTATTTTTTAATACATAAATTTTTTAGAAATTTTCTTTCACTTTCGCCCGAATCCTAACGCTAACCCTGTATAAAAGAGGGGTGAAAAAAACAAAAAAAAAACGAGGGGATATAAAATGTGGTAATCAAAATAAGTAAATGTTCAGCATAGCGCTCCATTTAGAGCAGTAAAGAATTTATTCAACTTTGTTCTGCCGATAGGTTCAGTAAACAAATTGGCAAAATTGTCTTCAGATGGAATATAGTCCAATTTTATTGTATAAAATGTCATTAAAATATAATGGTTTACGGTTGTATTAAGCAAGTTTTTAAAAAAAAGTAAATGCCTTAGAATGATGGATTCTAAATCTGTTTGTTTTTCTCTTTTATACGTATATATATATATATATATATATATATATATATATATATATATATATATATATATATATATATATAAAAGCTAAAACTAATATTCCATGGTTATAATTTATTACATTGGAATCGGGATCACGATCCAATTCATGAGACCTAAAATTCAAAAGAAATCGGAAAATATAACTCCAGGTATAAAAATCCAAATTTTTACTAATTATATTTTCCGATTTCTTTTTGAATTTGTCCGTCTGATGAATTGGATCGTGATTACGATTCCAATGTAATAAATTATGACCATGGAATATTAGTGTTTGAGCCTTTTATATTATATTCTTACTCTGTCCTGGACATTGAGTTCAACCTGGATTTTGTCCTCTTGGGAATTCATATATATATATATATATATATATATATATATATATTGGGTATTCATGACTTAATTTGCAATGACTTATGCAGTTTTCTTCTTATACAAATTAAGCAATTAAATACGTAAACGAGCTGTTTTACGTGGGTGTTTCCGTGTGTGTGTCTCCCTGTTCGCGCGCGCGCGCCCGCGCGCGTGCGTGCGTGTGTGTGTGTGTGTGTGTGTGTGTGTGTGTGTGTGTGTGTGCTTCTAAATCTCCTGGAAAAATGAATCAATAAAACGCAGGAAGAAACAAGGCGGCGAAAGAATGAAGAAAACGGAAATTGAAAGACGAATGTGGAATGAACTCTACTTAGAACTGTACGAGAGAAAAACGTGAAAGAAAGAGTTAAGAAAAACAAGAAACAGAGATAGATAGATAGATAGATAGATAGCAGCAGAATGAGATAGATACATAGATATCAGCAGAATGAGATAGATAGATAGATAGATAGATAGATAGATAGATAGATATCAGCAGAATGAGATAGATAGATACATAGATATCAGCAGAATGAGATAGATAGATAGATAGATAGATAGATAGATAGATAGATAGATAGATAGATAGATATCAGCAGAATGAGATAGATAGATACATAGATATGAGCAGAATGAGATAGATAGATAGATAGATAGATAGATAGATAGATAGATAGATATGAGCGGAATGAGATAGATACATACATAGATAGATAGATAGATAGATAGATAGATAGATAGATATGAGCAGAATGAGATAGATAGATAGATAGATAGATAGATAGATAGATAGATAGATAGATAGATAGATAGAATTAGTTTGCTAGTGAGATAGATGTAAGAAATTGAAAAAGAGGACAGGAATCATATATGAATAAATATAATCTCCATATTCTCGTCTCCGTAATTAATGTCGAAAAGTGTGTGGGAAGTGAGTCCGGGACACCGTGGAATTAAAGGACTTGGCTGTGATGACAAACGGAATCCAATTATATCCTGTTACTGTAAGGCATTCCGCTTTAATAACGTCGCACTCTGCTTTCCACCTTTTGCTCTCTACTGACAATCAATTGATAAGTCCAGGTCGATGGCGAACGGATGAACGTAAATAAGCCCGCACCTTTAACTGGACCTTTGAGAAGAAAATGACGAAACAGGCATTTTTTTTTTTTAATTTCTATTTTTTTTTAAATTCCATATCCGTTTCTCTTAGATTCTTTTGACCAGATTTCTTAATGCTTTCTTTCAATATTTTTTCCTCTTCTTCATCCGATTGTTATTATTATTATTATTATTATTATTATTATTATTATTATTATTGCTTTTATTTCCTTTGATTTCTGGAATGTGGATTTCTTTCCGGGTCCCGCCCAGGGACCTAAGTTTAGAAATGGCATCATGACACTTTCCACTGACAAAAAATACAAAACATTTATATAGATAAAGCCCTTCGTAAAGTGTGGGCTGTACTTGTCAGAACAATTTTTTGAGGCATGGAGGCATGGACTTCCAGGAATCCCTTCAATAAGTCTACTGGAATCGTTTCCAACCAATCCGATGGATCCAACTACAACAGGGATTGTTGATGTTCCCATATGCCACATTTTTGAGATTTCGATTTCAAGGTCCTTGTATTTTGACAGCTTTTTTAATATCTTCAAAGATACATTGCAGTCAGCAGGAACTGCCATATCAATAAAGACCCAATTTTTTGTACGTGGTCTTTAATAACAATATCTGGGCGGTTGGCTTATTAACATTATTATCACTATTATTGTTATCATTATCATTATTATTAATTATTATTATTATTATTATTATTATTATTGTTGTTGTTGTTGTATTTGTTGTTGTTTACGCACGTATGTCTGCTGAAGATTCACTGGGAGTAAGATCACCAGTAACCTTTCTTTGTCTTCACGTAGAAGCCAGTTGCGCTGATGTTTGGATTGTTACAACACTTCCTCTGATTGTTAGGGTTTTTTTTTATCCTCCGACCTCACATAGTTTTGACTAGGTCCATGTCGACCAGTTATTGTGTGTCTAACTTATTACACCCCTTAATTCCAGAATGAATACCTATTTTTTTTCTTTTTATCTTTAGTCTTCGCAATTTTGTCACCTGCTACCATCTCGCAGATTTTATTTTCCGAGTCTTTCCGCCTGGATTGAGAAGTCAGTCGGGATTTCAAAATTCAAAATCACGATGGCAAGAGTTCCGTACCCCAAGAGAGACGTATAGATATCACATGTACTGCAGCCATAGCAGCAGTGATGTGTCTTGAACAAGATAGCTCGTTTGAATTTAGAGATTTTCTTCTAGACTGGTTGCCAGCCAATGCTATAAGACCAAGTCTGTCCCACTATTTAATACATTGCTGGAGGAAAAGAAATGGATTCATACCTTTCCCAAGATTTATTGGGAAAGATACGATGAGAAACACACTATTTATTGGGAAATGTATAGCTATACACTCACTACGGGGTAGTTGCACATAATTCGACTGGAATTCGAACTCCGCTCTTTTATTTCTTATTCCAGCTTACTATTCAATACACCTGCCGTGCATTTCAAAATTACAGAGTTTATTTTCTAAGAAATTCTCTGGATTCTGCTTATAACATTTGCACAGTTCGTATTGTGTATACCATCCTGGGTACGCCGATAAACTACATCCAACAGCAAGGCCTCTGATCAGGAGGTTTTGAGGAGCGTGGAACCATCTCTTAATTGCTAGTGTTCCCAGGTCCAACCTGACCCAGGGTGCTAGCACCTGTTACGGTCCCAGCTATGGGTAAATAGTTAACCGATAACATTGGGTCAAGACACCATGAAAGTGTAAAAATAGGTTTTAATACCAGAAATATGTTTTTGTAAGAAAATATTACAAGGAATGAATTTTTGAAGAAAAAATTATTACCAGCAATACATTTTTGAAGAAAGAAATATTACCAGCAATAAAAATCTTGTCGGCATTAAATGAACCATTGAGGCTGTTATGCCCTAAAGCAGACCAAACCAAACCAAACCAAACCAAACTTATTGTGTATCACTGACTAAACTTTGTCGTCTCCATTTTTCTGTCCTATTTGACCAAGATTCCAACATTCATTTAGGATACGAATTGCAGATTGTTTTTTTTGTTTTTGTTTTTTTTTTTCTCTACAAAGCCACATATTTGTTATCTTTTGTTTTTTTCTTTCTTTCGTATAATTGAATTTGACGTATTTGTTCTCGGTGGCAATCATACCGGATTTTATTTCTCCTTTCAAATGGCCTCTGCGTGACCGTGTCTATTACTTTTGATCTCTGACATTTTTTACCCTCTTTTAATTCTCTTTGAAGAGTTTTGATCATCCTTACTTCATTTCTCCCGATTACTTCGCTTAGCATTTTTTGTCATAAGCTTTTCTATTGCCAGCCGATTTCATGATATTTCTCTCCTCATTGGTGCACCTTTCCAAATCTCATTTTAATCGCCTGAATAGAGGCATTAATAATAATAATAATAATGCTTTCATGGCTTCTGATTTTAATTGCTTTGTGTTAGTATATGCATGATTTGTGTTAGTGGATTAAAATGCGCTACAGTAAATATCGCGTTCCGTGCAACAGATTGCTTGTCAATTGTCTGACCTAAACCACTTGCATATTTTCATTGGGTATTGACGAAGTGTACATTTCTGTTCATGAGCGGGAATATGGGGATTGAGCATCATGGCTGGCTTGTCGAGAGGTGTGCTTCTTTTAAGCTAAAAACCAAAGATATTTCTAAGATGTATAACCTTGACCAGATGATCTTTAGAGGATCGTTCATTGCGCATCTCCGTCCATGAAAGAGGGGGTAGTGGGGGAAATTTTTTTTTTTTTTTTAGGTTGAAGAATTAGTCAGCTTAGGAATTTCGGAATACCTTCCATCGAAGACAGTCTCAGCCGAATAAGTTACCTAACCTAAAAATATTTCTAATGGGCCACCCTGAAAGGATATGAACTGCTTTTATCAAAACCTGCAACCATATTCTGAAGATTTGGCTGTGATGCCTGTGCTTGATATACACTTATCAGACTTGGTGCCATTATAGGTAGATTGCATTTTTTTATTTTCTTAGAGTGGGTGTTTTTTTATCTTTATTTCCAAAAATGATCAGTGGAAAATATCATGATGCCATTTCTGATCTTAGGTCTGGTTGGGACACGGAAGGAAATGTGGATACAATATAAATCAAAGGAAATAATAATAATAATAATAATAATAATAATAATAATAATAATAATAATACATTTCAGATGCACCAAGGGTGGTGTTCATTGATGCACTGTCTTCATCGCCGATTTCGGGTTTTGCATCATATCGGCTCAAACAGCAACACCGACCTGATTCCAAAAAGGGTCAGGCCACCATCTTGATAGCGTCGTGCTATGCACCTCGACATCGCAAAAAAAACAAAAAAAAACAATCCGATATGGCTAGAAGTCTGACCGTTATTATTGACATACGTCAGTCAATGTCAGCCAATCCACGTCTCACTTTGTAGGTGACTGGAGTATCGCGCAAATATCAGTGTCGAAATCCTACCAGACCTCTTTATTGTTCACTGGGGTCCACTTTATCTTCTTTCGGGACTCCGTTCCCTGAATTAGAGGAACTTGGAGAGACTGGACACTATGGTATGACTTCTGGTCCCGCACCTCCTCCGTTTTACCAGGGGTTCAAGGCATTTCATCCGGCTTTCATGTATATTTAAGCCTCTCTGATTTTTCCATTGAATCAGTCCTGCTGGGGATCTCTTCCCTTCCACTTCTCGGGATTCCTCGGGGGTATGATGCATTTAGGTTACTTCATAGCATTTTGGGGTTGTTCCTCGGGGAGCTTGCAAGTTGTGTAGCCAATCCGTCTTGTCCCACTACCCGTCTTTCCGGGCTACCAAATGTCCTCTCCAATAATAATAACTATCCATCAGTGGCTACGTAGTGCAAGGATAAAAGCTGAAACTGAAGATTTGATTCTTGCTGTAAAGAACCAATGCTTGCTAAATTAGAAAGCACACATACTGAAAAATTGTTTTAGCCCAAAATTCAGATACATAACCAGAAATAATTGACCATCTTTTATCGGGTTGCGTGGTATTGGCCATCACTTTATATAAAATACGGCACGACAGGGTTGGCCAATATATGCACTGAAAAATCTGCAATTGCTACGGGAGGGAAGCTGAAAGAAACTGGTATGCACACCACCCAAACCACACGAGTAGGCCTGGGTACCCTACTTCTGTAATTTATCCCAAGAATCTTCTTCTCATAACAGGAAGAAGCCGGCTCAATCCGCCCAGGGTGAATGCCGCATCAGACAGAGACCCAAACCACGGAGAAACGACCTGTAAAAATTTGATGGGACTTTACAATACACATACACACACACACACACACACATATATATATATATATATATATATATATATATATAAAAAGAGAGAGAGGATAGATATAAATATCAAATGGCTAAGTTGAAAGGATAATCAAAGTATGTCTTATTTGTCGAAATACATTTTGATTCACTTTATGAAATAAATTATCATACATAATCTAGTTTGCGATAATTCGTTAAGTTTTTCGTTTGATATATATATATATAAATATATATATATATATATATATATATATATATATATATATATATATATATATATATTCTAGGGATGTTATTATTGTTACAAATAAATACGATAATAATAATGAAAATTATAAATAAAATAATATAAAACGATAATATTTAAAAATTTGTTTAAAATAAATTAATTAAAAAATAAAGAAAATAAAAT